ACTTTACTCAACATAAAATTTATCAAGCCAAATAATTAGTGTAACTGCCACCCTGTAAAATCTCCAAATATATTCTGCTTAGTCACTAAGAGGAATTACTACTAATCATTTGTAGACAGTGTCTAAAAGTCAGTTAGGTTCTTTAGAGAACAATTGTAAACACTGAGTCTTCTTGAAGAGAAAATTGTACAAGCCATAACAACCTGACAAGTATTATCTATAGTATAAAATGTTTAAGCATGTGATAAGAGTGAAGAGCAAGGAACAATGACAACTTTGAGAGAGGCCCAAAAAGCAGTACAAATTATTAAAAGAAAGGGGAGACTATAAAGAATATTACAAGGGAAGGGAATGAGGTGGTAGGAAGGGAAGAGCACATGGCAGGGCAGGAAAGAGGGCAAATATTCTCCTCAACTATAGATATATATATATGTCTGTGTAACTTCCACTATCACTTATTTTATACTGCATAAAGTTATTACTTTTAAAGTCACTTGGACCATATTTGATTTTATAATACATAGAAACAAGAGCAAAATTATGAGTAGTGTAGCAATGAACTGTTCTAATCAGCACTCCAAATTCAGACAAAATGCAGTGTAAAATTATGGAAGCATAACATCACTAACATTGTCTGGAGTCCTTGTTTACTGTTTAGTCAAAAGCAAATCTTTTTGCCTTTTACTCTAGAAACTTTAGGAATTCCTATACATATCTCCATTTTCCAAAAGCAAAATCAATAATCGCCACATATATCTCCCTGAAATCCAAACCCAAAATATACAATGCTTTTAAGACAGTGTAAATCAGAGCTGATTATTTATAAAGTAGGATAATTATTTTAAAAATGGTACAATAGCTTTGTGAGTCTGATGTTTACATTTCTGTGAGTCATGGCCATCAACTTTTTGCTACCTCTTCTCCAGGTAAGCATCCTGCCCCACATCTCACTCATTCACAGTGGAATACAGAGCTCACAAAGCATGAGGTTTGCTTGTCAGAGATTTTGCTTCATTCAGTGTAGCTCTCCCATTTTTATCACCTCCGTGCAATCACTACCCCAGCAACTGAGCCTGCAGTCAGTTGTACCTTCCTAAATTTCACTCTGGACTTGACAGTGGTGGTTCACAGAGGGCCACCATCCTCTAGCTAGCCCACTATGTTTCCACCTTTCTTAGGTAAATCAGCTGACAAAGACACACACTTTTAAAAGAAATCTTTTACAAGGACCTCATGATAAACCTGAAATGCTTTGCAAATCTATGAAAAGTTGGATGAGTCTACAAAAAAAAAAAATTCTTGGGAAAATTTCTCTACTACTTTCGTGAAAAGTTGAAATGCATGTCTTTTCAGAGCTGAGTCTGACTTTATGAGGAGAGCATTTTATCTTTAGAATTGCTCAGCAGAGGAGATGGAAACTAGTGATATTTCAAGTAGGAAAGTGTAGATGCACATCATACAGACTGAAACAGAAGTCTTAATAAATAATGGCGGCGTCCTAACATCTATTCTTTTTCCTGTGTGCATTCTCTCAATGCAGTTCTTCGATACAGAAATAAAGTACAAATTAAAAGTAAAAAGGCACAAGACTGATCCCATAAATCAGTCTGTATAGAGGAAATGTGCTGTCTAAAATCTGTTTAAAAGCTTACACACACAAAATCAGATTTTATAAGAGGAAGGACACGCATAATTTAAAGGAAAAGTGTTCATCAAAAATTCTATCCTCTGTCTAAGTCAGTAAAATATCCACAAAGAAAAAAGTTGAAAATATGCAAATATTCTTTAAACAGCAAAGACTTACACCCAGAGTACAGACAGAAATTCACTCTGTCACGCATTACGCATATTAAATATTATGCAAAATATATATTCAATAACCTTGTCAAAAAGACAACTTCTTAGCCCATAACACTCAAAATGTACTCCAAGGGTCCCAAAAATTCCAGAAGAGAGACAGTCAAAGCAGCAGAGTTTGCCACCCATCCTTTTTAAAGCAGAAGCTCCACCTCAGGAACACAGTGCACAACTGTAGCTCAGCGTATTTCACAGACCAAACCAGGCCAAAGGACAGAGCAAATCTGGAAAGCTTCTGCTTTCCATGCCATCATGTTCCATCAAATCCTGGCAAGAATTCATGCTGACCCGATCACTATTAGTTGCTACAGATTACAACTCAATACCATCTGTATTTCCTCTCCCCAAAAAGAGTAAAACAAGCATAAGGAGAAATTATGTATCTATTTTAAATCCACACATCTTTACCCGAGGGAGTGAAAGGAAAAGAATAAATAGTCCACATTACAGATGTGAGTCACACTACTTAATGCTCTTTTGGAAAATGCTCAAATACCACAGTGATGGGAGCAGCATAAGAATTTGAAAAACACAAGATAGAAACAGAATGGAAAAGGAAAGTAGAGCCCAGGGAATAGCCATTCATATTGACACTCAATCACCATAAATTATTTTAAAAATAAATAGAGGGAATACATGCTTGCTGCTTTCTTCAGCATTCGAACAGTCCTTGTGTTAATATCTCTAAATGTCAACTCTTGTTTTCAGCATTTTTTTAATCCTCCTATATTTCTCCACGGAATGAAATGACACAATTTTATTGCTGAGGCAAAAATACCTTCCACTTCAAAAGAAGCTTGCCTTCGAGGAGAATTACACTTGAACAAAGACTGCAGGATTTAGCTCTATATTTATCTCTATGCAATAACAGTAGTTCATTCATATAAACATGGGGGGAGGTTCTTTTTTATTTTTTCTCTGAAGGAAAATACCTCTCAAGAGAATTAAACTCAGTAATATCTACATAAAGATTCTGGTAGGACTTTGGTGGAGGGTTGTGCTTGATAAATCTGTAGATATTTTTAAAATAAACATGTACCTGATGGTTCAAGGAGACACTTCATTTTCAGAAAAATGAAACTGATGAGTTATTCATTTGACACCAGCTCACTTCTCACTACCCTCTAAAATATTGTGGGCCATCTATTCAAATTCCATTGACAACAGCATTTTCCTAATAGCACTGCTTTAGCTATCCTTTATAGGCTATATCCTTTAGGCTATCCTTTAGGCTATATCCTATACACAGACTTTACACCTTACCATCTCCCTCACGGCTTACACAGAACTCAAGAGGACACTTTTAGTGAGACATAAAGAGAAACCTAACCCCACATAAATTTTGTCCTTAGATTTGATCAAGACCTTTTCTTTATCCATTGTCTGCTTAAAAGATTCTCAACACTACAAATTAAAACAATTCTGCTTCATTTCTTAAGTTACTTTTACCTTACCATTACCTGAGAACAGTTTATTCTTCATTTGCAAGTTTAACCATTTAAGCTGTTCTTAGTACTGTACTGATATTTTATTTTATATTTGACCATAAATATTACTCTCCACAGCAAAAGTTGGCAGGAACCCTTTTTAAAACCTTAATGCTATTATTATATATTTAAAATGCAACCTTAATTCCTTTAATTCCTGCAGCTTCCAACTTGAACTTCTATTTTTGTTAGTGATTTTTAAGAGTGCAGGAATTTGAGACAAAAATTTGCATTTATTTTGGTATATCACACAACTTAATAAAATAGTCTAAATTGTTTCAAAATAAAGTATCCCAATAGCAAACAAACTGTAGCACAAGAGACTAAGATGTGGTGACAAAAGAAGATATGGTACTTTATTTCCAGTGCTCACATTACACTGACGTGCTTCAGAATGTTCATCCAACAAAAAACCTTTTTAAACAGACTTTGAAATGTTTTCAGGAGATCTCCTCAACTTTTAGGAGCTGTCACACAAAGTATATTTGAAGTTTTTGGTATGATGCAGTGAATCTTGGAAACAGACTTCCAAAGTTACAACTAAAGCCCAGAAGACAGCTTCCAGGTGCTGAGTGTGAAAGGCCAGCTGCAATTAACATGTCCAAGACACAACGCTAATTTTGGTACAAAAAAAAAAAAAAACCACTTAGAGCTTAGAGCTTCAGCTTCACCACACTCATAAAAGTCACGTCCACGACAGCAGCAGCTTTGCTTATTTTTAAGCCACTAGAAGTCAGCGAAGGGAGAACAATTTTCTCGACTTTACTCAGTGTCTGCCAGCCGACTGGGGCAGGGCGTGACCTACGCCGTGCACGGCAGCGGGACCCCCGGGCCTGCAAGGAGACCGGTGTCACCCCGGGAACGGGGCACGGCGCACGGGGAAAGCTCGCCCTTCCCCGGGCCCCGAGCTCGTTCCCGGACACTCCCGGTGCCGAGCTGGGCTGCGTGGCCATGGACAGCTGGGCTGGGTGGCTGTGAACAGCTAGCTCGAAATGCTGAGCCGGGTCGCTCCGGACAGCTCCCGGTGCCGGGGCCGGGGCCGCCCCCCACGCCCGCGCCGGGCAGGCGGAAGGCGTCCCGCTTTCCCCGGCGCCGGGGCTCACGCTTGGAAAGAGCAGCGGGGCGGGGGCGGGCGGCAGACACGTTGTCGGGGGAAGATGGCGGCTGTGGCAAACCCACCCAGCCAGGAGGCCGGAGCCCAGGCCCCGGCGGTGCCGCTCCGTTCGGCAGGGCCGCCGCCGCCAGCGCAGTGCCCGCCGCGCCCCCGGCACCGGGCCCGATGCTGCCGGTCCGCCCCCTCCGGCGGCGCCGACCGCCGCCCCGACCCACCCCCGTCCTCCCGATGGAACACGCCGGGTGAGGACGGCACCTGTGCGGCCATGTTGGGCGCCTGGTTCCCGCCGGCGCCGGGGCGTGCGGAGCCGGAGCCGCCCCGCGGAGCGCGACTGAGGCAGGCGCCGAGCGTTGCCGCGTCCCTGGCCGCTCCCGCGGGTCCCTCCCGCCGTGCCCCACACTCGCCCGGCGCCGAGCACCCCTGCCCGACCCCGGCCACCCGACTCCTCTCTCCCGCCCTGGCCGTGCCGCCCCCGGGGCCAAAGGAGAGACTTCCGCGGCCGCGGGCCCGGGAGAACGAGAAAGGGATGCGCTCGCCCTTACTTGAGCACGGATTGCTCCTTCTCCTCTTCCTTCTTCTGGCGGTCCATGACGGCCAGGATGATCTTCCGCTCTTCCTCCGTGAGGTGGCTGAGGTCCGGCATCTCGGGCTGCGGGGCCGGAGGAGGCTGAGGGGCGGCGGGGCCGCTCCGGGGCCCGGCGGGAGCCGACATGTTTGGTAGGAGCTGCCGCCGCCGCTACGAGAAGCGCTGCCCGAACTCCAGCAGCACCAGCGGGAGCGGCCGGCGCCGGGAGAAGCACATACAAATCAATACCCTGTAATCAACCGGCAGCCTAATGACGGCCCCGCCGGGGAGGGGCGGGGTGCCCGGCAGCCCCGACCTCGCACCCACCCGCCGGGCCTCCGGCGGCAGCGGGAGGACGGGGACGGAGGGGCCCCGGGGGGCGAGCAGGGGGAGCGGGGAGGGGAGAGGGCAGCGCAGGGAGAGGAAGGGCCGCGGGCGGGGTGGGGAGGGAGAGGGGAGAGGGCAGGATTAGCCTCGGGAGCGCTGTGGTTTGGGTGCGAGCGAGATTATCCCAACCCCGAGCGCCAGGGAGAGAGGGGACGGTGCGAGCGTCGGGGGATCAGGAGACGGGGGCAGCGACGGCCGAGGGGGCCGAGGGGGGTGCCGTACGAGAGCGGAGCCCCGGCGCCCCGGGGCGCGCAGCGGGGAAAGCCCCAGCGGGCGAGCGCCAGTCCCGGCCGCCGGCCGCGGCTCATAATTCCTCGCCGCCGTCCATGGAAGGGGCCGCGGGGCGCCGCGCTCGCCTCCCGCCGCCGCCGCCTCCCGCCGCTCCTCTGCCGGACCGCGCCGCTTCCTGCCGCCGCCTCGCTTGGCTGGTGCCCTCTCGGCTGCGGGATGGAGTCCGCCTAACCCATGGCATGGCGGAGAGCCGGAGTCACGGGAGGGGGCTCCGCATCGCCCCGCTGCCTCCCTCTCCTGAGCCGAGCGGCGCGGGGCGATGCGGGGCCCGGCTGCCGCCCCTAGCGGCGCCGCGCGGGCTCGCGGCGGGGGGCGGCGGGCGGCAGCTGCCCTTATTTATTTATTTATCCCCGCACAAAAAATGGACGCGATAAAAATCACGCGAGGAAGGACAAGGAGGAGCCAAGGCGCCGGCGACGCGCTGGGAGGACCGAGCCCGGCGGCCGCGGGGGGGCAAGGGGGAGGGCGGGGAGACGCTGCGCGGCCGCCGCTCCCGCATCTCCCGCCGCTCCCGCTGCTCCCGCTGCTCCTGCCGCCAAAAAAGCGGCCGGAGAGGGGCACCCGCTCTGCCGGCCCGGTCCCCGAGTGCAGCCCTAGGGAGGAGGATGTGGCGCGGGGAAGCGCCGGCCCCGGGAGGAGGAAATGGAGGCAGAGGGAAAGACGAGGGGGAGAGGGCGGCAGAGCACCCATATCCCCGTCCCCTCATAGGCCCCACGGCACGGTTCGCAGTTCGGACAGAGAACCGCAGAGCAACATCAAGGGAACGGCGGGGTGTGCGCCGGGCTGGCCTCCGGTTCCCCCGAGCATCGCTGTTCAGCCGCGCGCATCCAGCCCAACAGACCTGCTGCTCCACGATCGCCCACATAAGGTCCTGCTGGAGTGTCCTTCACCTCACACAAGGTGTGAAATCTACTCCAGCCTCTGTCTGGACAGATTCCTCTAACCCAGAAGAGTAAGAATGTGACACCCATTAGAGAAGCGTGGAGAAGAAAGTCCTCCTCCTACACGGGCACCAGGTAGTGGTGAAATAAACCTCTCAAAATTCTTTTGCTACCTATAAATCCCCCACCTGAGCAGTCATTTTGTGGCAAGAAATAATTTCTGAAAAAAGCATCCTACAGTACCCAAGATGCCATTCAGACCAAATAAATGGGAAATACCCTATCCAAGAATGCCAAAGAAACAATATAATCTAAATCTGTAGGTCTTTACTTTGTAAGAGACAATAGAGTTCTGCTTGCTGTTCTGTCACTTTATGAGACATAACATCAGTGCTGGATAACATGGAAGTGTATACAGCAATAATAAAGTGATTTTTAAAGGTTTGATTTGAGGAGTTTGAAATCTCATCCCAGATCATCCAGATAGTCTTGGAGATGGTGTTGTTTGTTATCTGCCATGACATCAATTTATAACCAGGTGCAAAGACATGGGGAAAAAAGTCATCTACCAGAACCTGTTGTGGTCCTCATTAGCTGTATTTCTAGAGAATAAATTCTAGGATGCAGGCCCACAAACCAAAGACTTCTGCCTGCGTGTGAAAACACCATTCATTTGTGGAAACAAATTCTGGAGGAACAGATTGTCAGAAGGACATGAGAGGTTTGCTGCGGTAAAGCAGGTCTTAACAATAATCTCTACCTATTATCAAGCACATATATTCACTGTATTTTAATTTTTTCTGAGAAATGTTACTAGCATCCTTAGCTAATGGAGACTTCCATTTCTTGATGCAAACTTGTTTATAATAGACCCTATGCTAAGAACCATAAACCATTGTGTAAGACACTGAGCGTATTATATTTAAGTAGATATCCTTGTAAAATAAACTGTATGATTTTTCATTCAGTCCTGAAAGCATTCTGCTCCTCCAGTTCACATCACCTTCACCTTTCAGACTGGATTCCAGCCAGCTGGCTCTCATCGAATTCCTTGTTTCTTCCAGGCACTAGATAAATCTGGCATCGAAGTAAAAAAGAGGAAATTTAGAACCATGTGTCATCAGATTCCCAAAGATAGTAGATTCTTTATTAATCTATGAATGTTGAATGGAAGAATTAACTGTAGAGAAGCCTTTGGAAAATACATTTTATCCCAGGGAAGTGAAGAACAAGAGAAATCACTCAATCACTTCTGAGAATGATTACAAAGAACCAGACCAATTGAAAGTAATCACTCCTGTCAGGCTACACAGTTGGTTCAAGAATATTTCATGCCATGCCTTAACCATAAACACAAGCAGTATTCAGGCTGTAGTTTTGGTTGCAAGACATCACTACAGTTTTTTTGTGCATTGCCCCATTCAGCTGAGATTTTTTCCAATGGATATTTCCCTTTGAACTCTCTGGAATTACAGTGCCTACTTCATTTCAATGTGCCTGTGATGTTTCATCCACAAATGACAAATACTTGCTCTCAGCATTACTGTAGAATTTCAAGAGCTTTCTTTTCTCTTGGTATGTGTATTGTTTCCACTAAATCCTCTGCCATTACTGGGTAACTGTAAACAAACAAATACAGGGACAGGAACTGTAATCGCCATATGTTATCTAGCTATTTGTTTGGAAAAGAGAGAGCAGATTCAGAGTAGGAGACATCCTATCTTGATGACAATGAAAAAATGGTTCAACTTGACCTTTCTAAGCTTCTATCTTCATTTCTCACAATCAGTTTCACCTATCATTCCTCACATTTTTCTGCAATTGGAAACAAACATTATTTGTTCATGTTCCTGTCAGCCTGCACAGGATTGTCTCATGTTCTTACTGTTATTTACATTACTCAGGTGATATATTAATGAAAACATACAGCACAGACTTCCCTACCCACTCCAGTGTAATGGGGTCAACAGTAGTCTATAATCAACCAACAAATGATCACATTATCATGTAGTATGATCATTTACAAAAATTATTTTTAAGGAGCATTCATTTTTAATTCTGACCTTCCCATTCATGTGTCTCCAGTTTCCTGCCCTTCCTGTTCTTTTCAGTTCTCATTCTGAACTCACTACCACCCTCCAAAAAAACAGATTCCCATTCCTGGTTTACAATCCTCTGCTGAAATTGTTCTTCACTGCAAAATCTGTAAATGAAAATTCACTCTAATTGTATATCAAAGGCATGTGATACTGTCTTTTAGTGGCTTTTGTAAGTCATCTAAATGTACTGACACCAGCAGTGTTATTAATATAATTTTTCTGATATCCTTTTTTCATCTGTTCCTTTTCAGTTCTGCTAGACATGAGGGGTTCCCAAGGAAACAGTGATATTGTAACCTAGTTTTATATATCACCACAAAATGTCTTTCTCTAAGGGTCTCATTATACTTACTCCCATTTCCTTCCTCATAGCAACTACAAGAGTAAATGAGCTGGTAGATTCATTGTTTAATCATGTCAAGTATAAGTCTTCTCTGAAAAGGAAGTGCTAACATCTGCTTTATAATGTTTTGTATAAGGGGGGAAAATCCAGTGTAACTAATTATTTATTATTTCTGTCCCAATTTGAAGCTCAGAAAACAGTTTTATGTAGATGACATGAAGGGAACTTTAAAGTATTCTATTATGGATCAGTGAATGGAGGAAATTAAAGACATATTCTTGGTTGAAAATGACCATACTCAGACTCTCAGTGGATCAAATCAGATGTATAACCAGCAAGAAATGTTTCCTGCAGGACACTTCATGAAAGCAATCTGCAAAGGACTCCTCAAATTCCCATACAGGAAGGAAAAACTACACTGCAACAAATTGTGTTTTCTAGGTTCTGGACTAACTGCTACCCAACCATCATGAACTGGTTTTCTGGTGCAGTCTTGGATCTTTCCCAGCTTTGTCCTGTCTAAATTGAGGAAACATATTATATAATGTCATCAAATTGTCATTTGATTGCTTTCAGGAGGATTTTGCTACTCTCTATGCAATTTTTTTTATGCTCCAAGCAAATTTCTATTAGTTGGATACTTCCCCACAAGTGATTTGAATAATACTAGATATTTAGGGGTAGAAGTTAGATTTTTTTATTTGTTAATCTCATTCCCTATAAAAGAGGGTCATCCATAGTATACATAGTACTGACCATAACCAACAATATCAGTGAAATAGCTCCTCCCAATTTAACTGGTGTTAAGGATCTGTCTGCTGGTCTTTTATCTAGAGAACACATTTTTTCCTCCACTCTATGCATATGATCAGTACCTTCACTGAGTCAGAAGGGTGAATTTCTTAAGTTGTGCTTAAATATGTGACTTAATTTTTACCCACTTCCAAATCCTTTCCTGCTCAAGCAGAACCATTAACAAAAACCTTTTGGATTAGAGGACTGGGGGCTCTCCATGGGCATCATGGGAACTGCTTGGGTTATGGAGGATGTCCAACCTTATTCTTAAATTAGTTTTGCGAGGAAGAGATTGATTTGCCTTCTCTCAGTGGACTGAGGAGCTGGGATCCAGGCTGTACTTTGAAATGCAATATGGTAGAGGCCTTAGCACGTAGATTTTCTCTAAGCACAGCTGGCTGAAAACTGAAGAGAGGCTCAGATCAATTAGATAATTTTCT